CTCTCTCTCTCTCTCTCTCTCTCTCTCTTCTGCAGGGACTTCCTCATCTGAGCTCAGAGGGACAGAACACGCTCAGCTCTGTGATGTGGACTCTGCTTACTCTCTGTTAGTGATCCTTTCTATAATAGCGCTATATAAGTGTCATGTATTATTATTATTATTATTATAGAGTTTAAAGGCGATGCATGCCAGTCATGTTTTAATGAATAAATAGCACCTCCATCATCTTTGTCTTTAGAGAGAAGCTGACTGATCCACACTTACACTTCCTCACACCACCTGGTTTTAACCTCTGCTCTCCACCATGGTCCAGCCTGGAGGAAGAAACACAGTCAGGATGATGTTCTATCCAACATGAGTCCTAGCTGCTGGTACCTCGTGGAACAGAGGTTACTTTCTTAGAGCAAGCTTTTTTATTCTAATTTACTTTTTGTTGGCGTTTAGTGTCAAACATTGTCACAGCATATTGTACATTGCATCTTTACATGAAGGACATACATCTGTTCATAGCTCTTTTCAGCAATATACACATGATGACACAAAAGCACAGAGGAGAAAGACATAAAGAAAGAAATGAAAATAAAATAGAACAACAGTGAACAATTAGGGAGTAGACATTTCTTTCCAGCAGAGTTCTGGATCTGTGGAAACTAAGTCAGGCCTTTAGGGCTTTACAAAGTGAGTCCACTTCTCACAGGTTGGAGTAAATTGACCAATGTATGATTGACAGATGCTGTTATCTTTTCTATATTATAAATATCCATTGAGATGTCCATCCATCCATTTAGAGTCGGGCTATGCTTCGATAACCACTTCCTGGTTAATGCCTTAAAAGCAGAATGTTCAATAAGTATTTGTCCTTTCTCAAATTCCTAAAGTATAACATCTTGATCTCTAGAGGTATTATGTCTTTGAAAATGTCTTGTAAGGCGTTGTGTATCTCCTTCCAGTAGTCTTTGATACCGGGACAGTCCCAGAATACATGGAAGTGGTTTGCATTCTGGTTACCACAGTTCCTCCAACATATAGGGGGGGTCCTATCATAGTGGGACTTCTGAGAGGGCGGAATAAAATATCCTATCAGGTTCTTCAAACAAAAAACAACATAATCGAAAAAAACGATTATTTTGCTTTGCTTGGTTGTGCACTAGAACATATTTGATCTAATTAATTTTAGTCTAATTTATTTGTATTCATCATATTTACATATGTTTAGTAGTTTGTTGAAGTGCGCTCCAAAATATTTGTTGATCTTGTTTATTGGTATTTATTATTTTGATATTATTTATTTAAATGTAAATATAAATGTATCATTTATTTAATTAATTTTTGTATTGGTTTTTCAGTTGAATTATACGTTCAGGGTAATCAACAGTTAAAAAGATACTGTTCAAATGATTATTTGTATTTTTTTTAAAGTTCAATAAATGGATGTTTTCAAAGTCAATGAATAATCGTATTTAATAATCGTGATATCAATTATTGACCAAAATAATCGTGATTATGATTTTTGCCATATCCAAACTGAGCAATGCTCCCCCTTTCATCAGCTTGCACAGAGCTGTTAGACCTTTTAGAGCCCAGTCCCTAAATCTAGTATCCAATCTGTTAGGCATGAAATCTGAGTCATATGCACACCATTTGAGAAAGATACTTTCATTCTCCAATTTATATTCTTTTATGATAGTTTTCCACATTTTAAGAGAACATTTCACCCATGGATTTTCAATAATGTTTATGAAATTGTGTAGGTTATTGTCAGCTATAATTGCCTGTATGGGAGTACACCTTCTGTTCTATATGTTTCCATTGAGCATCATATGCTGGGTTACTCCAGCATATCATTGTTCTTATCTGTGTTGTGAAATAGTAATCTCTGAGAGAGGGTAAACCCCATCCCCCTTCTTCTTTGGCCAGGTGTAAAGGTTTGAGACGAACCCTTGGTGTTTTACCTTGCCATATATATCTTGATATCATTTTATCTCATTCATTATATTGACTTTGGTTGATCTCTTTAGGTAGGGTTTGGAATAGATATAATAATCTAGGTAGTATATCTTTTTTAACCCATTCAATTCTTGAAGAAATATTAAAGAAAGGAATTAGGTTCCATCTTGCTATATCTTCCTTCATTATGTTCTCTACAGGTAGGAAATTGCATTAGAATAATGTTGAAAGATCTTTAGGGATATTAATGCCCAAATACTTGATGGATTTTGTGTGCCATATCAATGGGTATGTATTCCTAATTTCTTCAGGTGGATGGGACTTGTCTCCTGAAGGAAGTTTCTCCCTGATATTCCTCCCTCGCTCCTCTCCTCCCAGCGTCTCCCAGGCGGACAGCTGCTCAGCCTCTCTCTCGGTGTGATCACGGTGACGGCAGTCCTCTGTCCTTCACGTCTCAGGATGCTTCCACAGCAGTCTGGTACAGCCTCGCCCCGTCCTCCTAAAATACTCGTAGTTTAGCAGGGAACGGGGTCTGGAAGCGAATGTTTCTCTGCCTTAGCACTCGCTTTGCCTCGGAGTAGTCTTTATGTTTTTGCAAAATAGCTGGTGGGTAATCTTGGTCGAAATATCCCGTTCAAAAACACCTTTATTTTCCCATGGCTTGCGTATAATATCGTCTTTAGTTGAGTATCGGAGAAACGTGATCATTCTTGACGCGGCTTGTCCTCCCTGTCTCCGGAGGCCCTCGGTACGAGCGCCCGGTGCGCTCTTTCAATGCCGAGCTCCGTGGCGGGGGGGGATCTCAAGTGCCTCTTGTAGTAAACTCTTCACCAAGTCAACCATAGATGACCCCTCCGCTCCCTCTGGGACATTATAAATCCTTATATTCTCCCGTCGGGATCTTCCTTCTTGGTCAGTCAGTTTATTTTCTTGCTGATTCATTACCTTTATCATACTGCTCAGCACCTTTCACGTTTTCAATTCTCATTTCTGCCTCCTCTATTTTAACGTTGACGTTGGTAAGCTCGGATTTCATTTTGTTTATTTGTTGTTTTGTGTCTTTGCGAAAGTCCCGTATCTCCTCCAGAACTTTAGCTAAGCTAGCCACGTGCGGCTCTGCGCTAGCTTCCTCATCATCGACCTGTGCAGGCGAGTTGTTCGTTGTATTTTCTTCGTTGGTAGACTCTGAGCCAATGTTTTTCTTTTGTCCGTCCTTTCCTCCCATCTTCGCCCCGTTAACTATTTCTAGTTTTACAGAGACATTTCTTATTTGGCAATTAAACGAGGCAAAATTAATCTCTTACCTGGGGAGAAGCTAGACTAGGCTGCCATTCGGTATGGTGACGTCACCGGAACCATGACCATCATTCAAGTCAATCATCTGAATTCATATCGGGAGTCTTAGTAGTTAGTTTGTTTATCATGTAGCCGTGTAATAAGCGGGATAATGTGCAGCAAGGCATCCCGTACACATTCAACTGCTAACAGCTAACTGCTAAAGGCTAACTGCTAACAGCCAACTGCTAACAGCTAACTGCTAACAGCTACCTGCTTACAGTCAACGGCTAACAGCTACCTGCTAACAGCTACCTGCTTACAGTCAACGGCTAACAGCTACCTGCTAACAGTTAACTGCTAACAGCTACCTGCTAACAGCTACCTGCTTACAGTCAACGGCTAACAGCTAACGGCTTAGTTTACCAGCTCTCCTCCTGCTGATATCAACATGAATGTGATGTTCATGATGGCATTATGAGGAGAAAAAAGAATGCGTACCTGGACGTGTCGATCATAAGTTTACGTAATAAAGAATCACAAAAAGTAAATCTCGGTTTCCCATCAGCGACTAGGTAATATGCTGATCATCGGCCAAAGCAGGCCAGTAAATAATCAAGATACAATTACAACCAGGGGTGCACACAACTTTCTCAGTGAGGTACTCAGATGAGTACCTGGAGTCAGTGTTTGGTACTCCAACTTCTGGCTCCCCTCAAGGTCCGGTGATCTAACCGCCTTCTGGAAAAGCTTCACAAGTACGTCGGTACGCAAATGAGCTTTGTGACACAAGTGACGGTACGCATTTCAGATTGTTTCCGCGCATGCGTACCTGCGTACCAGTTATGTGCACCTAACCCTAACCCTAACCCTGATTATAACACATAACTGGTAGATTGTGTTGTAAACCTGTAACCTCTGAACAGAGAATCTGAGTCCTGCGGTGAGTTTAGCTCTGTTAGCCGTTAGCCGAACACAGTCAGAACTATCCAAACTGAACCGCTGGTGATCACTTGCGTCTCTTAAAGAGTAGAGTGGACTCAGCCGTCAATGAGGGTGTAAAAACTCAATGAAATATAATTTCAATAACTGTGTCATAAATGAGAAGAAGAACAGGACATTTGAGATATTAGAGACACCTTCAGTCTGTCTGTCCATACCTGAGTGTCTCCAGTCTCCAGAGTGGATCCTCACGTCCAGCAGACAGCAGCTTCTCTCCTGAGTCTCCTGGATGATTGTAGCTCAGGCCCAGCTCTCTCAGATGGGAGGGGTTGGAGCTCAGAGCTGAAGCCAGAGAAACACAGCCTTCCTCTGTGACCATACAGCCTGAGAGACTGGAACCAGGGAATACAGTAAACTCAGTGTTTTGATTATGTCAGCATGAAGATACAGATGTTGACCAACTTTATTAACATGAACCTGAAGCTGGATGAGCAGGTTTTAAATGAAAACTATCAACAACAAAAAAACCTGTGCTCTGACCTGAGAGTCTCCAGTTCACAGTGAGGACTCTCCAGTCCAGCACACAGCCGCGTCACTCCTGAATCCTGCAGGTCGTTATTACTCAGGTCCAGCTCTCTCAGATGGGAGGTGTCGGAGCTCAGAGCTAAAGCCAGAGAAACACAGCCTTCCTCTGTGACCATACAGCCTGAGAGACTGGAACCAGGGAATACAGCAAACTCAGTGTTTTGATTATGTCAGCATGAAGATACAGATGTTGACCAACTTTATTAACATGAACCTGAAGCTGGATGAGCAGGTTTTAAATTAAAACTATCAACAACAAAAAAACCTGTGCTCTGACCTGAGAGTCTCCAGTTCACAGTGTGGACTCTTCAGTCCAGCAGACAGCCGCTTCACTCCTGAATCATGCAGGTTGTTGTTACTCAGGTCCAGCTCTCTCAGACTAGAGGACTGGGAGCTGAGGACTGAGGACAGAGCTTCACAGCTTCTCTCTGACAGTTTACAGCCACTCAGCCTGGGGAAGGATTAGCAATGAACACAATTTATCATTTTTAAAACTGATCAATGTTGTTTGTATCTCCACTTACAGAGCTTTCCTGGAGGCTTTGACCACAGGCAGCAGCCTCTGAAGAGCCTTCTCTGAAGCAGAGTATTTCTTCAGGTCAAAGACGTCCAGATCTTTTCCTGATGACAGTAAGATGAAGACCAGAGCTGACCACTGAGCAGGAGACAGATTATTTCTGGAGAGACGTCCTGACCACAGGTAGTATTGGATCCGCTGCTCTAGAGAACTATCATTCAGTTCATTCAGACAGTGGAACAGGTTGATGCTTCTCTCCGGAGACAGATCTTCATCTATCTTCTTCTTGATGTACTCAACTGTTTTCTGATTGATCTCTGAGTCACTTCCTGTTTCTTTCAGCAGGCCATGTAGGAGTTTCTGATTGGTCTGCAGTGAAAGACCCAGGAGGAAACGAAGGAACAAGTCCAGGTGTCCGTTTGGACTCTGTAAGGCCTTGTCCACAGCACTCTGGTAGAGATGTGTTAGTGTAGGTTTGACTTCAGAATGCTGGGAGGTTGTTGGTTCTTCTGCCAGAAGGTTGACTCCAGAGTTGATGAAGGTCAGATGGACATGAAGAGCAGCCAGAAACTCCTGAACGCTCAGATGGACGAAGCAGAACACCGTGTCCGTGTACAGTCCTTTCTCCTCTCTAAAGACCTGTGTGAACACTCCTGAGTACACTGAGGCTTCTGTGATATTGATGTCACAGTCTGTCAGGTCGTGATCATAGAAGATCAGGTTGCCTTTCTGCAGCTGCTCAAAAGCCAGTTTTCCCAGAGCCTCCATCATCTTCCTGCTCTCTGGACTCCAGGAATCTGTCTCACTTTTTCCATCATACTTGACGTTCCTCAGTTTGCATAGAATCACCAGGAAGTGGATGTACATCTCAGTCAGGGTCTTGGGCAGCTCTCCTCCCTCTCTGGTTTTCAACATGTCCTCCAGAACTGAAGCAGAGATCCAGCAGAAGATTGGGATGTGGCACATGATGTGCAGGCTTCGTGAGGTCTTGATGTGGGAGATGATGGTGTCGGCCTGCTTCTTATCTCTGAATCTCTTCCTGAAGTACTCCTCCTTCTGTGGGCCAGTGAACCCTCGGACCTCTGTCACCATGTCCAGACACTCAGGAGGGATCTGATTGGCTGCTGCAGGTCGTGTGGTTATCCAGAGGCGAGCAGAGGGAAGCAGCTTCCCCCTGATGAGGTTTGTCAGCAGCACATCAACTGAGGTGGACTCTGTGACATCAGTCAGGATCTCATTGTTGTGGAAGTCCAGAGGAAGTCGACACTCATCCAGACCGTCAAAGATGAACACAACCGAGAACTGATCAAACCTGCAGATTCCTGCGTCTCTGGTTTCAGTGAAGAAGTGATGAACAAGTTCCACCAAGCTGTAATTTTTCTTCAGCCTATTCAGCTCTCTGAAAGGTAATGGAAATGTGAACTGGATGTCCTGGTTGGCTTTGCCTTCAGCCCAGTCCAGAGTGAACTTCTGTGTTAAGACTGTTTTCCCGATGCCAGCCACTCCCTTTGTCATCACTCTGATTGGTGCATCTCTTCCAGGTAAGGCTTTAAAGAGTTCTTCTTGTCTGATGGTTGTTTCTGGTCTGTCTGGTTTCCAGGATGCTGTTTCAATCTGTCTGACCTCATGCTCCTCAGCTGTAGTTTCTCCCTTGGTGATGTAGATCTCCGTGTAGATTTCATTTAGAGGTCTTGAATTACCCGTTTTTATGATTTTCTCAATTCTTTTCTCCAGGTTTAATTTGAGCGTCCTTTGGCACTGAGTAAGAATCTCTGAATGAACAAAAATAAAATCACAATTGAGACAATACTCAAATTAACATAAAAGATCCATCACAATATTTGTTCCTAACTTTACACATTTCTGAAAGGATAGTAGGATATTTGTTGTCGGATCGAAGCTGTATCTCAATCATCTGTAGCTATCCAAACATATTGTTCCTTCTTTCTATTATTTCCCACTCTGGTGAACAATCTGTTGTCCCCAGAGAACCATGACCTTAAACCTGACGACTCTTATTCCTGCTGCTGGAAGACGAGGCACGACCCTGGCAGATCGACCTCTGAGGATGTGGACTCAGCTGTCACTCCAGTTATACAGGAAGTGGATTGCTCTTAGTAATTGTCCCAATACTCCGTAATCCTGCAATAGCCTAATATCAACAAGACGCCCTGGGGGTCACAGTAATAATCTTTCCCTTCGTCCTTAAGACAAGGTGGATGGAAAACTCTATTGACCCCTCCTAGCATATGTGGAGCCCCAGCCTAACTCAGTGTAAGAAAACGTTTTTAGAGAGTACTTGTCCATGGACAAGTGAGTTTGGCAATTTACTCCGAATACATTTTTTACTTGTCCAATCTGGACATGGCTATTTTTTTTGTTATAAAATTATTTTACATACCCCTTTTCAGGCCCATCAGTAAATAACATGCCGGACGATCAGACGTGTGCTTTTTCACACACTGCTAACTACTGAACGTATCCCCAGCTGGTGCCCTGACCCAGAGACTGCAAGAGAGCAAGTTACTCTGAACTGTTGGTCGATGTGTCGGCAGAGAGAACAGGGACAGCTTTCATCTCCATGAACCTCAAAGGTGACCTGGGTAACTCTGGAAAAGCAGAGAGTCTAATCCCTATCCAGGAGTTTCTTTCCAGAGCCGGTTCAATGTGTAGAGGTGAGCCCAACTTTGTCTAGTTGGTCCTGCTCCACCTCCCACACCAACACCGGCTCCGTCCCCAGCAGAGAGGTGACGGTTGTTTGAAGTTTGTATACCATGTTCCTCTCCTTCACCTACAACCCAACTGGCATTGATTGGACCCTTACACTCAGTGGTGTGTAGACCCTGATGCCTGGCTGCAGGATGAGGACCTGAGGCCTGTACTACGAAGCCGGATTTTGGCTTAGCCGGCTAACTTCAGGGAAAACTCTGGGTTTCCGGTCCTACGACGCTCGTTCTCTTCTTAGCGGGCTAGATCTCCATGGTAACTTATGCTGAACGGCTAGCCTGGTCCGGAGCAGGCTAGGTTCCAGGATAAGAGATCAACTCAGTGAAAGCACTGCCTGCTGACCAATCAGAGCTCTGTGTGCGGAGTTTAAAGCTATCAAGTCATATTACAGGATAGAGGAAATACAGAAAAACTGCCGTTGCAGGAAAGACGGCCGGCAAAAATCACCGACTGTGTGAACGTGAAAATTAATAAAATATCACCTCCCATCTTCAGAGCAATCTGACTATTATAACATTAGCGTTAAGAAAGCTTACTTAAATATGTGCCACAACATAAATAACCGGATCAGAGTAACATTAAGTACAGTCTGCGGCACTGTGAGTGCAGACGTCGATGTGTCCCATTATCATTTATATCCTTCAGCTTCATAAAGGGACTCGAATAGCTTTCAACTGATTGCAATGTATTCCCATCTGCGGCGGGATTTGACGCTCATGGAAGCACGGCATTCGTTTGTGTCGGCAATGTGACCGTCCATTCCCATTGGACAATGGAGAATTGTACACCCGGAAGTAAGTATTCCCCTTACTGTCGATTGATTTGACAGTGATATCTCCACTACTCATCAACTCAAAAACACCAGATTATCCTTGTTAATTAAACGACATTGATAGGTTTTAGTGTGTGGGCAATGCTTTTGTCACATTTTCCCCTTCAATTCTGAGAAACAAGTCGTTTTCTATGAGTTTTGGATGGCCGAAGACATTACATTACCCACAATCCTCTGTAGCAACCATAGACTGTACAGATGGAGCCTCTTATTTTGGACCCCAGCATACAGCTTCCTGCCGACTGCCAGCCAGTTGCCAGCCAGTTGCCTGCCAAAGACCAGTATTCAGGAATGTTAGGCCCTCCCACTATTCTCCAATTTCAGGGTTTAACCAGGAGATGGCGCTATATATTAAATAAGTAAGACTTAGTTTTTCACAATAGAAAATGCAGATATTATATAAAAAACTAAAGTTAAAATCTTGTTTTTAATGCCCCAAGAGCAATAACATCTTGTCACAAGCTTTTTGGAAGAAAAAGACTGACTCAAGAGACCTGTAGTTGACTAATTACAGGCCTCAATAAAGTTCTGCCATTGGTTGTGAAAAAACAACGGTGGACATAGTGGAAAGTGAAATTGACATTGTCGAATTTAATAAAAATACAAAATAATGTATCTGTGTACGTGTTTTACTATGTGATCTGCACTTATCAAACATCTAATTAAGGCGAGACACCCCAGGTGAATAGGGTATTTTTAACTTAAAGATATCAGCTAAATATTTCTCCAGTTAATTACTTACAATAAGGCAATTGTTTTTTGTATTACAAGTTTTCTGAAATAGCATGTTTAAATATCCAAATGAACCATTATCTCATGAAATATGCGCATATTTTAACACATTTCAGGAACCGAAATCTGAACTTTGGATAAAGCCAGGATCAAAATTATTGTTTCATTTTGTAGTCATATTAGTATCTAAGGCTTTTACAGAAGGGATTTTGGATATCTCTTTGTATCACTCCATAAATCAGAAAATACTGTCAACAGCCCTAAAATATCAATTTTCACCATGTTTTTAGGTATAAAATGTTATATAATTCAGGCTATGAATTATATATGACCAAACCCTTCTGTAAAAGCCTTCATAATATTGATAGGAATATAACTGGAAGGTTTGGTGTATGTAACTGCTGAGTGATTCTACAATTTAGGGTACATTCCATGTCCATTGATGTCCATTGATGATAATTATAATTATTCTAACTATTTTCTTCAAAAATATCATATTTTGCCTATTATTGGAAAGCATGTTATAATATCACACAAACATTATGTGCATCCTATGCTTTATTTAGCTTGAAATGTGTCATGATGTTCTTAAATTGTCAGTTTTTGCTATGTCCGTTTTTCAGTTGAGGGTGTCTTGGATTCAAAATAATGAATAAAAACCATTAAAGTAAATTTAAAAAATGATTTCATTTATTTCAAAAGTCTAAATACTAAAGAATAATAACATATTTTTAATTGATTTCCCCCTTTAAATAATTTAAATATCTTAATATATGAATGTCCGCAAAAGTTCTGTCAACTATGTTACTAACAGAACTTCCCCCTTTAACTCAAAAATTGTTTGTCCCAATACCATGTCACCAGCATCACATGATGCCATGTTCCTCTTTGGCAGACATTTTGAACACACTGTGGTGATTGTCCTCTACATTTTTACAATATTTTATGTATAATAGCACATGGTCAATTAATATACTCATTGACAATCAACAATGTTACGTACATTGTTATGGTTTACAATTGTTTAATGATTTTAATTCAATTATATGTGCAAATGTGATGTTAACCTGTTCAAGAAAATGACATGTGGTCATCCAGGCAAGGCCTACCATTGAAATGATGGGTCAAAATAGGGAAATTGTCAACTAGGTTACCTGTCAACTGAGTTACCCAGTACTGTAATAACTGTAGTAACTTAGTTGACAGGTAACCTAGTTGACAATTTGTACGACATGTAGACGTCATTACACATCATTATCAATGGAATTTTGCACTTCTGCCTTGAAATTAACATAGTGCTGATGGTTAATAATGTGTCCAGTCAACTATGTTATTTGCGTCAAATGTTTGACTTTCATTGTCAACTATGTTGCACCTCATTTTTTCAAATTTAAAATATCTAAAATAGTGCTTCTGATATCCTTTATAGTATAATGTATATCTACACAGGTTGGAGTTTTACATGACATCTCTTAAAACTATCAAAAATGACCTGTATGGTAGTTTTATAATACAAAATATCCCTAAACTTAATGACAGTGCTGAACATATCACATGAAAAAACAAAACTTTAATACAATTATTTTTTAAACTTTAAAAAATCTTTGGATATATGGTAGAATAGACTCAAGAGCCTTTCAAATTTGATTTTACTTGAAGTGCAGGACTTAATCAAATGATTGTAATGACATCAAGTTTGTCCGTAACATAGTTGACAAACTGAGTAGTGAAAACATCCTTTCCCTTAAAATAAAAAAATATATAAAAATGTTTAAGCTTTGCAACTAGTGGATATGTTACACTGAGGAATATACTAACTTGAACCACTGATTGTTCTATCTATACATTTTATTTGGCATTAGTAAATAATTATGCACATTTACAGATATTTTACATGATATGAGTGATAACACGTGTTATAAGGGCTATTTCGCACAATAGGTGTGCCTTGAGATTTTTACTTGTCCTTTGGTGTGCCTTGGGCACAAAAAGTTTGGGAACCACTGCTGTAGAGAAATGTAAACGTTCACCATCCCCCACCCGCCTACTGTATGTTGCTTTTTGACATGTAAATGGCTAACTACCCCCCTCTGAGTGAATACCTGTTGTACCTGTCCGGGGCTAAGCCCATAGGACGATGCTCTGATGTCATCACCCTCGCACATTGGTCATATGTTTACAAAAAACGATGTTAACACTTTATCGTTCTTAATATATGCTATATTTAGGGTCGATATGTGTTGAATTTACTTTAAAATAGCAGATCACTGTGATTCACTTCTCCGCGGCTCCTCCGTGCAGAGAGGCCCCCCCCCCGTTGACAATTCACGAGCGTCTAACTCTCTCCCCCCTGTGAAGAGATATCACAGGGGGGGGTTGGGACACACACATTCCGATGGCCAATTCGTTTTAAACAAAGAGTGGGGTGGGGGCTGGTGAACGGTATGGTCAATGTTTGTAAACACTGTGACATTTTGACTT